GCGAGGGCCCCGTCCCGGGCCCCGCCTCGTGCCCGCGGCAGTGCGTCACTGGGCCGTCTCGGCGCCCTGGTGGGGGCCTGTTGGGGCGACATTGGGCGTCTGAAATCCATCAAACACATAGGACATACAATGATTTTGGCGTCCCTTTGGGCCGTGTTGGAAGCCTTGTGGGCCGTCCGGAGGCCAGCTTGGGCGTGTTCGAAAGATATGTCGTCGTTTCGGGGCCTATTGGGGGTCTCTTGCGACCCTTTTCGTCTGTGTTGGGACTTTCTTGCGCCGTCTGGGGGCGGCCCTGGGCTGTCTTGGCGCCCTCTTGGAAGCCTGTTTGGAAGATTTCTGGGTGTCCTGGACCGTCCTCCTTCAACGTCGGAGGCACTGGCCGTAAGACTTCCTGGGGACATGATTTGTTGGTGTGTCGTTGGGCGCCTCCGAAGGCTTCGGGGCCTGACGCGTTTCCGAGCGTGGCGGCAGGTAGCGCTGCTTGGGACTCTCGTTTTTTTTTGTTATCATGGCAGGCGTTTAGGGAACATAGTTTGGGGAGAGGGCGGCAACCCGAGAATCATGTTCCCAAGAAGCTTTCCGGGAGCATGATTTGCTCGGCTCTCTGAAGACGAGGGCCTCTGAGGGCTTACCGAGGGGCCCTTTTTGGCCTCGTCGGCAAACATATTGGGAACATGGTTGGAGCGGTGGGCAGAAGCCCAAGGAATCATGTTCCCGGACAGCTCTGGGAAATACGATTTACCGAGGTCTCTTGGGGGCCCGCAGGGGGCTTCCCTGGGGACCCCTTGGGGGCTTATTGGGGCTTCCAAGGGGTCTCTTGCGAGCCTCACGGGGCTTCTTGGGAGCCTCTTGGTGGCATCCGGGAACGTCCCAGGAGCCTCTCAGGCCGGAGATCTTGAAATGTCGCGCTCTTCGGGCCCTCTTGGGTCGCTCTTGGGGCTCTCTTGGGGCGCTCTCGAGGCCCTCTTGAATTATCTGGGGAGCCTCCTGGGCCGTCTCTCGTCTTTCTTGGGAGCCTCTTCGGCCGTCTTGGAGCGATCTGAAGTGCCTCTGACGCCGTCCGGGACCGTGGGGAGGCGGAACATGCGAGAGCGCAAAAATGCGGGGCCCTTTGGGGGGGCCTCTGGAGGCGCTTTTGGGGCGTTTTGACGGCGTTGTCGGCCGTCCTGAGGCCATCTTCGGCGTGTCCGGGGCCCCTTGGGGCTGTCTTGGCAATCTTTAGGGCCCTCTTGGCGTGTCGTGGCGTGTTTGGGAGCGGGCCAGGGCAGTCCCGGGGAGCCCTGGGGGCTGTTGAATGCTAGGTGTTGTCTTGGAGGCGGAGGCTGTTGAGTGCAGGGTGGCGCGTGCTGCGCGAAGGCGTGCGAGCGGCCGGGCGGGCGGCGGGCGGGCGGGTGGGTGGGTGGGTGGGTGGGTGGCGAGCGGGTCGGGATTTGAATGAATTCCTTAAGGGTGCTCTCTTGCAGCGGGAGCTTGTTGAGTACAGGGTGTTGCCTTGAAGACGGTGGTGGGTCAGAGGCCTCATGGGTGTTGGTTTGGATCTCGTGGTTGGCCTGTCGGGGACGTCGTGAAGGTAATTTCGCAGCTTCTCGGCAGCCGTTTTGGGACCGGTGTGGGGCCTCCTCGGGGCTGATTTGTGGCCTCTTGAGGCCTCGTTTGGGCCTCCTGGGTGCCTCTCGGGGGCCTCCTGGGGTCTCTTGGGGGCTCTTGGGGCCTCCTCAGGCACTCTTCAAGCGGGAAGGTAAAATCTTGGAGTCGTGGTCCCCCTCTTGGACGCATCTTGGGGCCGTCTTGGGGCTCTCTTGGGCTGCCTTGGGTGCCTCTGGGGCCGTCTGGGTACCCTCTTGGGGCGCTCTTGGGGGCCTATTGGGCCGTCTTGGAACGTCGGACAGCCGAAAAGGCTGGAAGGCCAAAACCTCTCCAAAACCATCCTAAACTTTACGATTTCGACCACTTGAAGCGCTTTGGAGAGGCGTCTTGAAGCGTCGTGGAGTGCCTTGGGGGGGCCTCTCGGGCCGCCTTGGGCCTATCTTGGGCGTCCACGAACGGTCTTTCGGCGACTCGGGGCCCGCTTGGGCCGTCTGGGGAGCCTCTGGAGGCCCCCCTGGACTATTTTGGACCTCCCTGGCCGCCCCGTCCTGCCATGGGGATTGGGGCAGCTGTTTGTGGGCCCGGGGCCTGCCCCCAGTGATATATATATATATATATATATATATATATGTATATATATACATATACATATACATATACATATACATATACATATACATATACAAATACAAATACAAATACATCTATACATACAAATGTATATACAAGACTGCAGTGGCGCGTCGCGCCATGCACCTTGGTCCTTGAAAATTGGCATGCCGGCGAAATAGCAGGAATGTCAAGCCGACAATTTAGCGATAACTCCTTGTTGCCCTTTCTGGCATAACTGCTATAATAATGTTATTCGTTATCCTTTCTCCGTGCTTCTGTTTCCTTATTTTCGCCATACCCTGCGCACACTCCCCATCCTCCTCAGATCTTTTTTGCGGAGGCTCCTTCTTGGAGAGACTCTGGGGGCCTCACAAAAGTTGTTTCAGGCTTTCTTAAGGCCTTATGGAGGCCTCCTTGGCGAATTCTGGGGGCCTCCAGGGGCTTCCTCGGGCCACCCTGCCTCCAACCACGGTCTCCCTGAACGACCGGGTCACGATTCGGAATGCTTCGAGGGTGTCTTTGGGCCATCTTGGGCCGCCATGGACCTCTCTGAGGGCCATCTTGGACCCGTGTTGTGCCGTTTTGGGGCTCTTTTGGACTGCCTGGAAGCCCTTTCGGATGGTTGTGGGGCGATTTTGGAGAGCCCCCCAGGCGGCTTCGAACGGGGCCTCCAGGGGCTTCCTCGGGCCACCCTGCCTCCAACCACGGTCTCCCTGAACGACCGGGTCACGATTCGGAATGCTTCGAGGGTGTCTTTGGGCCATCTTGGGCCGCCATGGACCTCTCTGAGGGCCATCTTGGACCCGTGTTGTGCCGTTTTGGGGCTCTTTTGGACTGCCTGGAAGCCCTTTCGGATGGTTGTGGGGCGATTTTGGAGAGCCCCCCAGGCGGCTTCGAACGCCCAGAAGACCGCCGTCTTGTCAATGATTTGTGCCTCGGGGGGCCTTCTTGGGAGTGCTCTTGGAGGCCTCTATGGGGCCGTCCTGGAGGCCTCTTGGGCCATCTTGAGGTCACGTCGGTCACTCTTGGAGCGCGCTTGTGCTGTCTTGGGGGTCTCTGGGACGTCTCCGATGGCCCCCCTGATCGCCCTAGGTGTGCTGGGAAGGCTTGGCAAAACGCCCTGCGAGGCCCGGGGGCCGCTTCGAGGCCCGTCTGGAGGTTCCCAAAGCCCCAGATCCGGGGAATCCGGTTTGGGGGGGAGGGGTGGGGGGTGACGGGTTTTCCCCCCGTCTGGGCTTGTAAAAATATGGGAAGAGGAATACTATATATATATATATATATATATATATATATATATATATATATATACACACACACAAGACTGCAGTGGCGCTTCGCGCCATGCACCTTGGTCCTTGAAATTTGGTATGCCGGCGAAATAGCAGGAAAGTCAAGCCGACAATTTAGCGATAACTCCTTGTTGCCTTTTCCAGCATCGCCGCTATCTTCATGTTATTCGTTATCCTTTCTCCGTGCTTCTGTTTCCTTATTTTCGCCATACCCTGCGCACACTCCTCATCCTCCTCAGCTCTTTTTTGCGGAGGCTCCTCCTTGGAGAGCCTCTGGGGGCCTCACCAAAGTTGTTTCAGGCTTTCTTACGGCCTATGGAGGCCTCCTTGGCGTATTCTGGGGGCCTCCAGGGCTTCCTCGGGCCATCCTGCCTCCAACCGCGGTCTCTCTAAACGACCGGGTCACGATTCGGAATGCTTCGGAGGGTGTCTTTGGGCCATTTTGGGCCGCCATGGGGCTCTCTGAGGGCCATCTTGGACCCGTGTTGTGCCGTTTTGGGGCTCTCTTGGACTGCCTGGAAGCCCTTTCGGATGGTTGTGGGGCGATTTTGGAGAGCCCCCCAGGCGGCTTCGAACGCCCAGAAGACCGCCGTCTTGTCAATGATTTGTGCCTCGGGGGGCCTTCTTGGGAGTGCTCTTGGAGGCCTCTATGGGGCCGTTCTGGAGGCCTCTTGGGCCATCTTGAGGTCACGTCGGTCACTCTTGGAGCGCGCTTGTGCTGTCTTGGGGGTCTCTGGGACGTCTACGATGACCCCCCTGATCGCCCTAGGTGTGCTGGGAAGGCTTGGCAAAACGCCCTGCGAGGCCCGGGGGTGTAAGGGCCTGGCGAGGAGCGCTGGGGTGACAACTGCGCCCTCAAGGAATCCCGCGCGAGGCTCGCGCGAGGACTGCCCGCGCGTGGCGAGGTCACCAGGCGAAGCGACGCAGAGCCCGCGCGCCCCCGAGGGCGTCGCAGAAGACGTAACGAGCCATCGCAGCGCCCATCGAAATTGCAACTGTTGCCGACGCGCCGACAAATCAACTCTGCAGATTTTCGGCTGCACGCGGGCGCACGCAGAGCGAAATGGCGCGGCCAGCGCGCCCAACCAAGCTGCCTCGCGATGACAGAACGAAGGGGGCGAACGCATCTCCCGTGCGCACCCAACCACGAAACAAAAACAAGCGCTAACCAGGCCCGCGCAGCGGCCAAAGTGCACAGGACACGAACCCAAGGAGCACTGGCAAGCGAGCACAAACACCCCCCGCCCTCGCGCAAGACGGAAGCATCCAGGCATACCAAGAAGTCCATGATCCGCCACGCTCTAAGCGAACGCGCCGTCGCACCACTCCGACAACACGATTGCAGTCGAGTGCCCAACCGACGTCTTTACCCTGACGTCGTACTTCGGGCGGCCCGCCTACCCAACCTCGAACAGACGAGGGATCACGGGCCCAACACGCGATATCCACCGCGCGCGCGTGCCCAGGAGGCTCGCGCGGGATTAGGCGCACGAGAAGCAACTAGCTCTTAACGCCAGCTCCATCTCGGCGCGCGCCCGCATAACTGGGCGCAGCTGCAGCCTTGAGCCAACGCGGCCTGGCTGGGAGGGCTGAGGGCGGGAGGAGGACGGGGCGACCGAGGAGCGACAGAGGCAGGCAAGCGGGGTCGCGAGGGGGGCGGAGGGGAAGCCGAAGGGCGCGTTGGAAGGAGGAGAGGGCGTCAACGGTGAGGAGGCGAAAGGCATTTGAGGCGAAGATGGGGGAAGGAGAGAGACGGGTGTCCCTGATTGGTTCGGCCATCCCTTGAGGGGCGAGGGCGGGCTGACCCACTGAGGAAGTGGAGAAGAGCGGCTCGCTCCGCGGGGCGGGGACAAGGGTGGGCAGGGGCAGGGAAGGAGGGGCAAGCAGGGACAGGGAGGGCTGGGCTGATCCACGGAGGAGGCGAGCGAGGAGTGGGCAGGCACAATGAGGGAAAAGGGGAGGTGGGGATACGACGACCAGCAGTTACCTTAAGTTGATTGCCCTGAATCGTCCAGCCTCGGTGGGCTGGGCGATTCAGGTGCGTTGCGAGCGGTTTCTTCGCGCCCCTTGCTTGCCGCCGCAGGGGAAGGGGATTGGCGCGGCCTCGGGCGGGGGATTTTGGCGGAAGAGGGGGGCCAGAAGACGAAAATGTGCGGTCCACGGCACGGCAGATGGAGATATGATGGGCCCCGCCGGTAACACCCGCTCCCGAGCACGGTCGGGAGGGACCACCCTTTTCAACAGTCAAGAGTTGGATGATCCAACATCCATGCGAATCCTCGCCGCGCTGGCGGCGCGGCCCACGGGACTCCGAGTACACGTACTCACATCCCAAGCAAAAGAATCGCCCCCATGTTCAGCGGGGGCCAACCTTGTGCTCGACAGGCGTTCCGTGCTTTTCGTTTGTCGGCCAGCGCGCGGTCATTCCACTCTGGCGGGAATGGCCGCGCTGACCGACCAACGAAAAGCACGGAACGTGTTGCGAGAACGGGGCACCTAGTCGACCATGTCGCCGCGAGCTGCACCCTGGCCGCAGGCGTCGAACCAGGCGTCCATGTCGGAGTTGGCCTTGAACGACTTCGGGAGCTGCGTCGTCTTGGCCGCGACCCACGCGGCGGCCGCGGCTGCGAGAGCGCCCGCAGGCGACTTCTCGCGGACGCGGTCCTCCAAGAAGTAGCTGATGCCGTAGCTGGCCAGGTGCTTCACCTCGGCGCCGCGCTTGGACTCCTTGAGGTTGGGCTTCTTGCTCTTCCAGTCGATGCTGGCCGCGATGGGAATCAAGAACGGCACGTAACCCATCGGCACGTACACAGCGCTGCCCGCCTCGAGCAAGCACGACCGATGCTTGTAGAGCGCCCCAGACTCGGCGTTCTCCAGCAGCCCGTTGAAATCAAGATTTTTTGAGACCCACTCAGGATCTACGACCACCACCATCGAGAGACCACTGAACTGCTGGACGAAGATCGGGCACTGAGACCATGGCAGCGTGGTCTTTTCAGTCTTCCACTCCCCAGTGCTGCGCCCATATACGGCCATGCGGAGCCCGCCCAGTGGTTCAGTCGAAACATCGCCATCTTCGCCGTCGAGCTTGAAGCAGAAACTCGGCGTGTAGTCCAGGGTCCCCCAAGCCGATCCCAAGTCATTCTTCCGCATGTAGTCTCTCACCTCTGTCATTTTGGCCGCCATGGGCTTGTCCTGCTCCTCGTACATGTTCGCGAACGTCTGCTGGAAGATGTCCCTGGAGGCCTTATCCACGTCCTGCGGCTTCCTGATGATGAACGGCTCCAGGAATGTGTTCACGCTGATGTTGTCCGCAGGGTGGTCTGCAACCACATTGTACTCAATCTTCAATCCGTACTCGTTCGATGGCATGCCCAAGTCGTTCAAGGTGTTCGCCGATATCATCGCCACGGCGTCTGGCAGCCTCTTGCCGATCAGGTACGACCTGATCTTGTCCCTCACGAACCTCCACTCGCGCGAGAGCCCGCTCTTCTCCAGGCGCTTCTTGGCCACGATAGCCTCGGGCAGGTTTACAACTTGGGGCGGGGGGACACGGTGCAGGGCGAAGGCAGGGGGGGCCCTGCGGGGGGGCGGCGGGCGGCGGCGACGGGGGCATGACCGCGCGGTCCACCCGCGCCTCTGCCCCCTCCCCTCGTCTGCATCCTTCCTCGAGGAACTGCCGACTCCCACGCCGCCCCTCGCCGCCGCCCCCCCTTGGAGCGCCTCCACTGCCCGCCGCCCCCGTCTCCCTTGTCGACCCCCGCCCTCCCTCCGCCCCCTCCGAGCGCGCCTGCAAGCCAGTCTCGCGGCGGCGGAAGCGCCTCACCTCCTCCCTCCACTCCTGCACGCGCCGACTGATCGCACTCCTCTCCTGGCCGAAGTCGAGGCCCTCGTCCCACTTCTGCGTGTGCTCACGCAGCTTGTCCAGATTCTCCTTGGCCTTCTTGAGCCTGGACAAGCAGTCGGGCAAGTTCAGACGAGCGACGCGCTCCTGGGCGGAGAGGGAGGGGCACGTCGCCGTCGACCGAGCCCGCCCAATGGGGGTCCAAGAGGAGCCCAAGAGACCCAAGAGGGCCCCAAGGGGACCTGAAACCAAGCGCGCGCAAGCGGGATGTTGCACACGCTTGGTCTTGGGCCCCCTTCGGGCCTTCCGAGAGGGATCGAATAGGGCTCTCGGGGCCCTCGCGGAGCTCTCTTCAGGCCCGTTTGGGGCTCTCTCGGAACCTCTTAGTGGCCCAAGGCGGCCCCAGGAAAGCCACATCCCCCAACGTCCCCCTCATAAGCCACCAACTCCTCTCCAACCATTACCATCCTACGCCTGGCCAACACTCCCGCGCAGGGCTCCTCCTTGCCAATCTCCGCGATCTGGGTCTCCAGCCACTCGATGATGCACACCCCGTCCGCCTGGGGGTGCGACGAGCGGCCCGCGCCACCGAGCGCCCCCAGTGCCCAACAATCCTTCCCATTTCTCTGCGTCGGTCGGGCATCGCCCACGCAGTCACCCCCTCCCCGCCGTGGCCAAACCTCGCCCCCCTGGTCTGTCTCATCGTCCCGCATCCTCCTTCGCTGCCTCAATCCAGCTGCCGTGCCCCCTCCCCCCACCTCTGCCCCTGCTCGTCCTCGTTGCCATCCGCCTCATTCCTCCTCAGGCTCGCCGTCGCGTTCGAGGCCGCGCGATCCGCCGGCGGCCCGATGGGGGGGGGGGCACGCTGGGCGCGGGGCGGGGGTGCCGAAGGGGTTGGAGGAGGACGCGTCGGGGAAACGGTGCATGAGGGGAGGGGCCGAGGATGGAAGGGGCTGCAAACAAAAGTAGCGCGCGTCGCGCTGGGGCAACTTCCAGTGGGCTGGGTCGGAGGCTGCAGCGATGCAGCAGTGATCGCGAACGCAGCCTCCACAGGAGGCTGCGTTCGCGATGCACTGCGCCTCGATGCCTCTTAGAACGCCTCGAAAGGCCTTTTGGAAACCGTCGAACCCATCCGAGGCTGCGTTCCGCTGAAACCTTCCCGAACCCATCCGAGGCTTCTTGAAGCCTCGGATGGGTTCGGAACGGTTTCAACGGAACACGGCCTTATCATCGCCCTTCATTCCACCCCCCCACATTTGGTTGGCGGCGGGGCCTGCTCCGACAGCACGACCTCCTCCAAGTACTCCGCGATCCAGTCCTGGGCGTTCCACATGTCCACGGTCTCCTCGAAGTGGCTCGGCAGCTCGGCGAACCTCGCCTCCCAGATCTCGATCTTCGCCGCGTGGGCGACCTCCATGGCGTGGGCAGGCGACTGGGTCGACCGCGCGCGGCTGCCGCGAGCCGAGCGGCGGCCGCTGAAGGCCGAGACGGCGTCGGCCACGCGGTCGTCCTCCGAGAGGCTCGCAGCAGCCGCGTCCCCCTCCTGCTCCTCCTCCTCCTCCTCCTCCGACTGCTGCGAGCTCACGTTCTGCGAGCAGCCAGCGCGCGGAGGAGTCGGGGCCTCGAGCCGCGGGGCCGACGGGCCCAGGCCCGAGCGGCGAGACGCCGCGCGAGACGGCGGCGGCGGCGAGGCGCGCTCGCGGCCGCTGCTGCGACGCCGATGCGACCCGCCGCCACGGCGGCGCCTCGAGCGCGACCTGCCGCGGCGCTCCTCGGCCGAGCCCAGCTCCAAGCCAGCCCGCTCGAACCTCGAGCAGCGCTGGAGCGGCTGTGCGAAGACCGCCTGGGCCTCGGCGGCGTCGACGGGCCGAGCCCTTCCCGAGCCTGTCACGGACAGCTTCAGCGCCTCCTTGTGCTTCTTGCTGCGCATGCCGCTGAGGACGAGGCAACTCTCGCCCTGGCAGACGACCTCCTTCAGCCTGTTGCCGAACTCATCAACCTGCAGGGAAGGGGAAGGGGAAGGGAATGCGAGGCAGGGCGAGGCGCCCCCAGGCTACCCTTTCCCCCCATGTGGCCCATCAGTCTCATCTTGGGGCTCTCTCGGGGCCTTCTTGGGTCTGCGTCGGGCCCTTCCCATAATTGCTGGTGGTCTCCTCCTCCCTCTCCTCCTCCTCCTCCTCCTCCTCCTCCTCATCCTCCTCGTTCCCCCTCCTCCTCCACCGATGATCGCCAAGATGTCCCATCGTCAACTGCAACGCGGCTGCCGTGGCAAAACATGGCCCCTAAGGGGCCATGTTTTGTGCCACGGCAGCCGTCTTAACCGCTCACGCCCAGAGGGCTGGCGGGACTCTCATGGGGCCGCGTGGTGATCCCCCCCTCTTCCCACCCCCTCCTCCCTCCTCCTCCTCCTCCTCCTCCTTCTCCTCCTCCCCCCCCTTTCCCTTCGGGAAAAAATAACATGGGGCTAGCGCCGCGATCTCGACGACAATCGGGGCGCTAGCCCCAAGGTTTGTTTCGAGCCCTGCCAGTTGCCCGTTGCCGCGCCGCGGGGGGGCGGGGGTCCACCTCCCCCCCCCCCCCTCTCCTCCCCCATCCTCCTCCCCCCCCTCCCTCCTCCTCCTCCTCCTCCTTCTCCTCCTCATCATCATCATCATCATACTTTTCCTCCTCCTCCTCCTCTCACTCCTCCTCCTCCTCCTTCCTCCTCCCTCCTCTCTCCGTTTCTTCCATCCTCCCTCCTATATGGGGGCCCTCTCGAGGCCGCCCCAAACCTGCTTCGCGCGGTCGAAAGCGGCCCCAGGATGGATGGATGGATGGACGGATTGACCGCCGATTCGGAAGTGACGACGCGATGCCGCACTCTGGGCACGGAGAAGGGGCGGGCAGCGAGAGCAAGAGGAGGAGGAGGAGGAGGAGGAGGAGGAGGAGGAAGAGGAGGAGGAGGAGGAAGGGACCCCCTAAGCCCCACCCCTACCCAGGGCGACCCCGAGATGCGACCGCGGGGGCCCTATGGGCCCTGTGCCTATTGGGGCCGACTTGGGGCCCTCCTGGAGATCCCATCGGGGCCCCCTTGGTCATTATTTGGGCCCTCCGGGCACCTTCCTATGTGGAACCTGTCTGGGGCTATCCTGAAACCCTCTCGGGGACCCCATTGGGCCCTCTTGGTGCCCTTGCGGCCCCGCTCGAGCACCCTAGAGCCCCTTGCAACCCTCTCGGGGCCAATCGGTTTCTGATTACCACGCGCCCGCCAGAGCCTTGTGCTCCCAGCAGTCCTCGGCATCGTCGCGGCTCACACCAGCGCTGCAGAGGGTCCTGATGAACCAGTCGTGGTTCAGCTCGAGGTCCTTGCCCTCCGCGCTGTACTCGATCTCCCTGACGAGCGTGCGGACGCACGACTCGAACTCACGGAAGTTGCCTGTCATGGTGTACTCCATCTTGAGCTTCTGGGCCTTCTCTGGATCCTCGTGCATGAGGTTGTCCCACAGGCCGTTCACCTGGGCTGAAGCAGGGGGGCAGCCCCCTTTTTCCGCCCACCCCCCAGGGCCCAACCAGCTTATGCAACAAGCTAGCCAATTGTATAAGCTACTCGACTGCCTTCTCGGGGCCATCTGAAGCTCTTCCTAAGGCCCCAAGATGGCTCCAAGAGGGCCCCGATGGGGGCTCAGGGAAGGCCCCGAGAGGGCCCCAGGAGGGCGTCCCCGATGTCAAGGATGAAGGCCGCCAACTTGACAGCAGCGAGGATTTCTTTGTGCCCCTCTCGAGGCTCTTCAGGCCCCAAGAGGGCCTGACATCGCCCGAAGAAGCTTCTAAGATGGCCCCAAGAGAGCCCCAAGAGGGCCCCGAGAGAGCTCCACAAGGACCTGAAACAAAACGTATGCAAGCGGGGCGTTGCACACGCTTGGTGTCGGGCCTTCCTGGAGCCCCCTTGGGGCCCTTGTGGGGCTCTCTTGGAACACCCTTGGGACCCTCTGGGAGCCGTCTTGGACCCCTAGGGTGGGCCCCAAGAGGGCCTCCCCGATGTCGAGGGCGAGGGCCGCCACCTCGACAGCAGCGTGGATTTCTCGGCGCTCATCTCGGCCCCCCCCCCCTCAGGCCACGAGAGGGCCCCGACGTTGATGCAAAGGGCTTCAAATAAGGCCCAAGGAGCCCCAGGAGATCACCGAGAGAAATCCGAGGGGACCTGAAACCAAGCGTGCGCAAGCTCGGCGTTGCACACGCTTGGTCTCGGGCCCTCTTGGGGTCCTCTTGGGGCCCTTGCGGGGTCTCTTGGAGCTCCCAGTGGGGCATCTTGGAGCCGCCTTGGGACCCCAGGATGGGCCCCGAGAGTGCATCCCTGCTGCCGAGGACGGGGGCAGCCACCTTGACAGCAGCGGGGTTCTAGTTGGGGCCCCTCTTTGAGCCCTGCGCAGCAATCCTCGCTCTTCTGCGCCATGTTCCACGCGAACGCCTTGTCCCTCTTGCCGCACTCCTTGTGCTTCAACGTCTCCCTGTACTGCAGATCCCCGACGCGGACCATCTTCGTGCAGGACGGGCAGGTGTGCGACTTCTTGCAAACCTTCGGAGGCGGCAATGTGTTGCCCGCTCCCGCTCCCCTTTCCACGGATCTGGATGGGCATAGCTGGCTTGGCCCCACCCCTCCCCGAGGGCTCGCCAGGAGCCCTCGCGAGCCGTCGCGGGCGCCCGCGACCCGCGGGGCCCTGCGGCCCACTCGATTTCGCGGGGCCGCGATCGGGCCCAGGGCGGCGCCCAAGATGGACCCGAGCAACCCCTGGGAGCGCGAACAGATCAGCTGCGTTGGATTGCGTACCCTGGCCGACCTTGTCCAAGTAGCAACTCCCCGAGCGCCGCTCCCGCTGCTGCTGCCCGCTGCCGTCCGCCTCGTGCGTCGCGAGCGCCTGCTTCGTCAGCCGCGGCGCCGACGGCGTCGGCCCGCGGGCCCTGCGGGCGGGGGGCTGCGGCTTCGGCGGCGGGGTCGGCGGCGCCGCCGCGCGGCCGCGGCCGCCGCGCCCCCTGCCGCCATGGGAGCTCCCTGCCCTGCCGCCGCGGCCAGCGCCCTTGCTGGAGGCCGCCCTGCCCATGCTGCAAGAGCGGTGGCAGGCTGGGGTCGCCGAGGCCCCCTGGCACGGTGCCAAAAAGGCTGCAGGCGCACCTGGCGCCGCATGGGCACCGCCAACCCCACGGAGACATCGAAATGCGAACGGGCCCCCCGACGACGATCAAACGGTTCAGAACACGAGCGGGCGACCCGTTCGCAGCTCAAAATCCCTGGCTGGGCTGGGGGGCAGCAGCAGCATCGCTGCGAAGTTGGCGGGGCGGGCCCTGAATCCTCCCTCTCGGGACGTCGGTGGGCCCCCCCGTGGGGGCACGATCCGTGCGAGGGGGATCGAAATCAGCGCGTTGGCGCAATGCGAACCGCCCCTCTGGAGCCGTGCGTGGATTTCTCCTACGGGGCAAGATCCAACTGAAAGGTGTGCCGTAATGGAGGGGGGGAGTTATGCGAAATCTGTCTCTTGCGCCGTCCAGGGCCCTATGGGGCCCAAGGCAAAGTCCTTGCCTAACGCATGGTGCGTTCGGCAAGGACGTTGCCTGGCGAAGCGCCTCGGGCGCGATGCGCCCCCGCGCGTGCTACTGGCACAATTTCGAGCTTGCCGACTTCCCGCGCGGCGACCTGAAAAAATGTCGTCGTCGAGAAATACGCACAGCGCTCCGGCGGGAGGTGCATATTTTCCTGTCGTAGCGAAACAGAATTTTGTCGTGGGGTGGAATTACGGGATCACTTCGCCTCGCCAGGCGGAACCGGAAAATCGCGGCGAAGCCCCCCTCCCCCCCTCCTCCCCCGAAGAAATGCTGCCAAGGGCCCTCTTCATTTTTCAGGTTGGCTTAAATATGTTTCGGGCTGGTTCATGTGCGTCCCTGCCTGATTTTGCTGAGTTTCGGGCTGGCTGTGGAATGATTTGGCATGTGCTTGGTGTGTGTCTGGTATGTGTTGGTATGTATTTGCTATGGTTTGGCATGCGTGTGGCATGCATTTGGTATGGTTTGGTATGTTTTGGTATGATGTGGTGCGTGCTTGGTGTGCGGGTGGTATGTGTTTGGTATATGCTTGGTATGTTTTTGATATGGTTTGGCATGCTATGGTATGTGTTTGGTATGTTTTGGTATGTGTCTGGTATGTGGTTGGTATGATCTGGTATGTGTTTGGTATGTGTTGGACTGTATTTGGTATGATTTGGTATGCGGTTGCTCTGTGCTTGGTATTTTTAGCTAAGGTTCGGTATGTTCTCGGTACTGTGTTGGCATGGTTTGGTATGTTTCCGGTATGGTTTGGCATGTGTTTGGTATGTTTTGGTATGGTTTGGTATGTTGTTGGTATGGTTTGGTGTGTGTGTTGGCATGTGTTTGGGATGTTTTTGGTATGTTTTTGTATGCTTGGTATGGGTTTGGTATGTGCTCGGTTTGAATTTGGTATGTTTTGGTATGGTTTGGTATGTTGTTTCGTATGGTTTGGTATGTGTTTGGTATGGTTTGGTATGCTTTGGTATGTGTTTGGTATGTGTGTTGCATGGATTTGATATGGTTTGGTATGGTTTGGTATGCGTTTGGTATGGTTTGGTATGTGTTTGGTACGCGTTTGGTATGATTTTGGCTTGTTTTTCGTATGTTTGGTATGTGTTTGGTATGTGTTTGGTACGTTTTTTGTATGTTGTGGTGTGTGTTTGGCATGTAGTTGGTACGTGGTGGTATGTGTTTGGTATGTGTTTGGTATGTGTTCGATGCGTGTCGTTATGTGTTTGGTACGGCATGGTATACGGTTACTACGGTTTTGGTGCGGTCCGATGTGCACATGCAGTATGTGATGGTATGGTGTTGGTACGTGTTGGTATGTTGTGGTATGCGCTTTGTACATGTTGGCGGTAGCCGTTATGGTGTGGCATGTATTTGGTATGGAGCGCTATGGCTTGGTACACGGTGTTTGTATGTGCTGTATGTGGTTCGTCTGGCTTGGCGCGTACTCGCATTTTTGTTTGCATGGTGCGGGTTGTTGCTTTTGTTTTGTTGTTTTGTTTTTTTGCGCGGGTGGAGGGGGCGAGGGGGGCAAGAGCGAGCGTCCCAAGAGCGGCCCAATAGAGCTTCAGGAAGGTTCCAAGGAGGCCGTATTCTTAAACTTTTCACGGCCATCCATTACCATGGTTTTCGGGCGTGGCTCATCAGGCTTCCGCGCACGTCCTCCTCTTCCTCTCACCTCCCACCTGCTATCTGCGACGCATTCTGGTTAGGCGGGGGGGGCGAGTGGAAAGAGGGCGAGGCGGGGGAGGAATAAGAGAAGGCCGTTTGGGGAGATATCGGGATAGCGACGCCGACGAGGAAGACGGGGATGGCCATGACTGTCGGCATGCGTTGCAACATGTGTTGTGCTAGTATAGGCTGGCGGGGGTAGGCGAATCGTGGGGGAGTTCGGGCAGCGATGTTGGAAACAAGCGATAGCGTTCTGGAGATGACTAGGACAACCCGATACCATATCACCTGGAACTGATTGCGCACAGAAATCTGATGCACTCTCTGCCAACTGCGCTCTGCATACCGAGTGCGCTAAGCAACGCAGCTGGCCAATGCCAACTGATGGCGCGCCAGCTGGCGACAGGGCGGCGGGCTCCTCGCTCTGGCCTCGTCGAGGCCGACCATGGTGACAGGCTTGACAGGGCGGCGGGCTCCTCACTCTGGCTCATCCTCCGTCTGCACCTGAGGCGGGTGGCGGTCCTCAGCCCTGTTGATCTCAATATGCATCTGGGCGCAGCGCTGGTCGTCTGCGGTGGTGACGCTCTCGGCGGCCCTCTTCATCTGAAGCATCGCCGTCTTCAGCGCCTTGGTGCGCTTCTTCAGCCAGAAAACCTGGATGTTGAGCGAGCGGATGCGCTTGGTCTGGCGCAGGACGGTCCTCTCGAGGGCCCGCGGGCCGGGTTGGCGAAACTCGCCGACCACTGGAAGGATGGGCTCCGCCGCCGCAGGACGCTTCGCAGCCATCGGCG